TCCATGATCACCCATGTCCTGAAGGGACATGGCACATAGAAAAAGAAGTAGTATTAAATTCATCCAACAAGGTATGTTGGTCACTATTTACATTATTCAGACTATTGTCCTCATCTTTGTCGCCATATTTATTACAACGTTTGGCCGTTGTACATTCCAGCCTTCTTCAGGTGGTTGGAATGTCGAACTGAACCCTTTATTTTGCTCACTGGGGTAGACTGTTCTAGTTCCATGTGCCAGTGGATAAAGGTGTTAGTTAGATCCAGGACCCAAAGAGTGCGAGTTCAATACCTGGTTAAGGCAGTGGAGAACTTTCAGAGGGAAATTAACAGGAGATAACTGATAACTGACATCCATTAAACATGGCACGTGGAACTAGAACAGTCTACCCCAGTGAGCGAAATAAAGGGTTCAGTTCGACATTCCAACCACCTGAAGAAGGCCAGAGCGTACAACGGCTGAAACGTTGTAATAAATATGGCCACAAAGATGAGGACAATAGTCCGAATAATGTAAATAAATGTACATAATACCTCATCTCAGAAATATAGTCAGATACTGAAGGTATGTTGGTTTCATTTTTTTTTTTTATTTTATTTTTCCAATTTTCAAAAGTTTTTGCACACCTGGATCAAAATCATGTATAAACAATCCAAAGTTTTTTTTTTTTTTTTCTGATTTTGCTTGAGTTTTTTCAACTGTCTCAGTCACTATCCAGAGCTAAATATCAGTAACATTCCAAAATAATGCCAGGAAATAAATAACAACTTGTTGATAATACTAACAACATTTAGTTTCTGATAATGACCAAGAGAGTTGAAAGAACTCAAAACAAAAACATGAACTTACAAGAGATTATCTACAATTTTGATCTGGGTATGCAATAATTTATTAGAAAATTGGAAAAATACAACCAAAAATTAAAAACAGAGAGACACTATTAGTTGAATTTCACAAAACTTATTTAAATTAATTTTTGCTGCCTAATATATGCATTGACTATTAAAATGAATCTAACATTGCTAAAATATATATAAAAAAAAAAAAAAATTATTTTTAAAAAGTCTTACTCAAAAATGGCATTAAATTTCACATTTTTCAATTCTTCAAACATGTCTTTTTTAAAAAAAAAAACGTTGTTATAAACAGCAACAGGATGAATTTCAAAATAACACTGAAAAATTACAGGTAGTTTCTTTATATAAATTAAATATTTGTAGATTTTTTTTTCTTTTCAATCTGAAAGAAAATACTTATGCAAGTACTGTCTTTCAGAGTTTTATTGAATTATTTTCTATAAGGTCTGGGATGATTTTTCTGTATAGTCACAAATTTTTTTACTGAAATAACATCTTTATTGATATTTCTTTATATAACTGGAAAAAATTTCACAGTCACTCCTCAAATTAAAACATACACACAAAATATCAAAAAGTGTGTGTGTGTGTGTGTGTGTGTGTGTATGGGGGGGCGGGGGCGATGAAACAGACACCATCAAATATTTCCACAGAATTTCTAATAAAATAACCTATTCAGTATAAAATTTGTTCATAAAAGAATAAGTACTTGCAAACACATGTGAATTCCATCAGACAATCAAACTAAATAAATGAGACATATAACAAAAGTTAAAACTTATCCAAATTCCAATAGAGCACAGAATTAGACTGGAAATAAGACAAGAACAGTGTGGGTTTGTTAAAGACACTGGAACAAGGAATGTGATATTTATGCTCAAAATATCAGAAAGAGAAATACAAATGCAGAAGGAGGTGTTTTATAGAATATGCAAAAGTGTTTGAGAAAGTCACAAACAACTGTTGTAACTGCTTGATAATCTTGATATATTTGGGAAGGATAATCCAAAATATATACTGGCAGCAAACTGCCTGCATAAAGATAGAAAAGGAATTAATTAAATATACAGTAATAGATAAGTCTAAGATAAGGATGCATTTTCACACCAGACTTAATTCAACCTATATACAGTGATGAGGCAATACTGAGATAATTTAAAAGCCTTACAAAGATTCATTATTGATATGCAGATGACAGGTAGTAAACAAAGAAAGGAAAATTACAAGAACTCCTACAGAAGGTATAAAAGAATGCAAGAAGAAAGGACTAAACCTCAATTGCAAGACGATAGAAGCGTGGTTGCTAGCAAAAGGAACAGCCCAACATGCAAATTACAAATTGGAGATACCAAAATCAAACAAGTACAACAATTTAAATATCTGGGAAGAGTTGAACTTCTCGTCTTTTGTTAAAACAACAAAAGACGGAAAGTGCAACACTGATCCGAAAGCGTATTTGGGATAATGAAAGTTGCCTCCCAAAAGCTAAGCAAAGTATTAAACAGAGAAAAGAGTACTGAACGGTTGTTAGTCCTCCTATATGGCGGTGAAGGCTGGACAATTTCCTCACAAATGAAGAAAAGACTCGAAGCAACAAAAACGTGGTTATACAGAAGGATGCTGAGAACACCATGGACAAACTATACAACGAAGTTTTAACAGGGCTTGCAAAATTTGATACTGAAACAGTGAAACTGAATGAATAGATTGAAAAAGTGAAACGGACAAGGAAACAACGCATAACCCACCTAGCGAACTTGCTTGAGTAGGGTTTAGAAAATATAGCAAAAAGACAAAATTTATTAAGAGCTATAAAAAAAGGACAGGAAATTGCGGAGAGCCATGATTGCTAACGTCCTGAAGGGCCACGGCACAGAATTAGAAGTTTGAAAATTTCGTTTGATTCGTATAATTCCCTTATTTTTGGCGATTTTATATTTTATTTTTTAACAGCGGGTAGCGATATTTAGCTTTATTTTGGAGAAAAATCCGCATCCATTTTTGTTTTGCTTTGGTGGTACTTCAATTCAAATATAAACACAGCAAAAGCAAAAGAAATAATACAGGTTTATTTTAACAATACACCGAGAGAAGTTGCGACTGCTTATGACGAAGCATAAAAAGTTAAAGTGTGTCAGTGTCCACAATAAACTAGCCAATAAATAAATAAATAAATATACAATTTCAAAACCGAAGGAATTGCAGGCAAAACAGCTAGGGAAGATTTTGTGTTCTTTCTTTATTAATTATTTTCATAGCTGAATAAACTTTATTTCTATGAAAATAATGAATTCTATCATTTTTTTCCAAGTAACACTAATCTACCTAACCTAAATAAATAAATTTACCATAATTTCAATGTTTTGCTGAGAAACAAATTATTTTAAGATTTATAGCAAAATTGTACATCCATAGATAATAGAGTCTCTATTTTTCATGACAATAATGAAATTTCTATCACAAAATTTTTTGAAAAATCCAGTTGTAAAAACGCGCATATAATTCTATTTAAATCTGACACAATTGATATCATTTTTCGTTAGGTTCATATTTCTAAAAAAAAAAAACTCATTTAAATAACGCGAAATTAAACGAATAAAAATTGAAGAATTTTCAATCTAACCATCTCTTCTGAATTGGACACTTTTTTTTTTTAGTTTTACTGTACGATTACGACAGTTACGATAAGCAAGTCGATTTTTAAATGCGATACTTTTGGGAAGTTTTGTAATCGCCAAAATTATACTTTTGAAAAGACTTTGAGAGAAAAGAAAAAAAAAATAAACTTTTTTTTTTAAAATTAACGTTCTATGAGACGAGGTAAATAATAAAACTCGCAGCTGATTAGAACTATGACGTCACACGAATTTACAACATTTTTTTTTTTTTTTTCAAACCACTATTTTTTTTGTTTTGTTTTGGAAAGGAATTATTTTTAAAATAAAAAATTAATCAAAAAAAAATTAATTTTAGCAGCATCAAGTCCCCTTCAGAGTGGGGAGAAAATATTTATTTATAACTTAAAAATTATATAAAATAAAAATAAATAAGGTAAGGAAAGGATGAGGTTATTTTTTTTTCACTCAACCACCCATAAAAATTAAAGCTTTTCAGAAGCAGGGTCACATGACGTAAACGTGGAGGTGAATCGATAAAGCTTGAGATCTGTCGCTTTTTAAAAATTATGTCTTAGTTAAAAAAATTTTGACAACAGTGTGTGTCGGAACTTAAAAAAAATCAGTTAAATAATGAATGGCAATCACAACACAATCCCCATTTTACTAAATTCCACTTATTATTTTCCCCATGATAAACGAATGATACATGTCGTTCGACCGTGTAAAACTTGTAAAAACAGGAACACTTTATCGTGAAAGGTGCTGGAGACAAATACAAATGGATTGTTTATTTTTAAGTAGTTACTTAAAGTTTCCATTCAAAATTTTGCCACTTGCTTCTTTTTAATTTTCTTTAAAGTCTAAAAATTAAAATTAGTTTATGCTTAAATTTTTAAGAAAAGATACGATTTCATTTTTAAAATATTTCTCTTTTAAAAATAGCAATAAAACAAACAGAAAAAACATATCGATTTGTGTCTCTCTAACGAAAGTAGAAAATGTCCGAAGTTTACTGCTAAAAAAATTCTTTTCTTTTACAACCAGGACAGGTTAATTGCAATAAGTGATGAAAAAGCATTTTAAAACAATATTTTGAATCACATCATTTCCAATAATTTTAAACTACCATTTACCCAAAGCATTAGATAACTAGCTGAACGAGAAAGAAAAGATTTTTTTAATTTAAAAACAAACACGTCAAGACCTGAAGGATATTGTTTTTGTATGGGAGATCATAAAGAAAACAACGAAACACTTCGATTGAATTGAAACAATTATTTAAATAAGACTGTTCAATTGAAACAAATGAATTAAAAACATTACGATTTATTAGTAAATTATCTGTAAACTAGCAAGCACATTAAACAAATTTACATTGGTTTTAATATTAATGCACGTTTGGGCATCTGTAAAAAGATGAAGAAAATTGTCATGCTTTCTACATTATTGATGCCATAACATTTCGAGGTGAAATGTCGTAAAATAAAAAGTTACCGGTCGTTTCTCCTGACATTCAAAACCTTACCAAAAATGTAGACGAGGAAAATACACTTCCTCGATTTCGATAACTGGATAGCCTCCGCTATGGAACCTTCGTACCACAACATTGTGTATATTTTAACCAGTTTTACAGGGGTTTTCAGATCTGTTGCTTGTCCTTATAAGTTGCAATAAACTCCTGTTGTTGACATTAAACGGGAAGCGGATACGACAATATAATCCGCAGCAAATATCAATCATCAATTAGTTTAGTTAATATTAGGATAAAATAATTTTCGAAAAAAATAAATAAAACCTTTTCATAAAAAGAAAATTATTTACTTAACTTTTAACAATTAAGTACTTCTTCTCTATAATTACTAATTTTCTATTTTATTTCTTAGACATACTTTCAGTATAGTTGACCCTATCGGAAGTAATTTCGGTAATATCACCTGTTAGGTCAAACCCGGATTGTATGAGAGAGAGAGAGAGAGAGAAAATAGTGAAAACTATTATTTTGTAATGGAAGTTTCTCTGCAGAGGATCTCCTGTTAAAATGCTGAAAAGATGCTCATTTAATTCGCTTAGGATGCCATTTTCTACAAAACAATCTTTCCACGTGATGTAGCATGTCTGTAAACACGGTATGTTGTGAGCCTTTTTATTTTATTTTTTTTTAAAGTAAAAGATTTTAATTTTTTGGTATATAAACCGACCCATGTTTTTCGTCATCAACATCGAAAAATGAAATTAAAATCAACGTTTCGGTATATACACATAAAAAAAAACTTTTAAAATAATATTTACATGCATTTTCTTTTGCTTCTATATCAACATCACTTGCTTTTCTTTTTTTTTATTCCTTCTTGACTAAGATCGTTTTTTGTTTGCAGTTTTTATGAACTTTTATTTATTTATCAAGAAACTTTTGCAACTTTTTTGATTTGACTTTTATTAAAGCCGAAAATGACTTTCTTAAGCAATGCAATCAGTTGAATAAAAATAATAAAAAAAACATTATTCGTTAATGAAAGTTAACAAACTACAAGTGATCATTAACGATTTGAAATTAATTTCTTCTTCTTTTTTTTTTAATTTAAAACCGTTTGAACAAAAATCTCTAACCTCTCTGTATCCAAGTATTTTTTTTTTAACGATACTTATAGTCGGTACAAAAATAATTTTTAATTAGCATGATACTGGGAAAAGATTTTTAAGTAAATTCAAACTTACTTTGTTTTTTAGTCTTTCTTGTAATGTAAAAAATGTTAAAAGTTCTAGAGGTAAAAAAAAAACTTATTAAAGTTAAATACAGTCTCTTTTGTTTAAAGGTTTGTTGGTGTTTATTTATAAAATTTTCTTTAAAATTGTCATAATTGTACGATACGATTAAACAATTATTGCAATAAAGGCTAAAAGTTAAAACTAAAAGCAGTGATGTGAAATTTCAGATTTATTCTCAAATGCTACAGACTTTTTAAACATTGTTACATCAATTTTCGTTTGGTCGTTTAATTAAACTAAAAACAGTTTTGTAAAAAAAAATGTCAAACATGCCTGTATTGTTTTTTGTTTTTTTAAGTGAAAAGTAATTTGTTAAAAAATTATATTTTTGAAAAATTTTCGGTGCTTTTTACCCATCATATATTTGTGAAATCTTGACATTATGAGTCATGATTGATTGTTGCATATTTGGTAGATGGGAATGTCATTTCAACTTATTTTACCTTCAAACTAATGATGTGTGGAATCAGAAACTAAAATCAAAGATAATTTAACTTAAAAGCATATAAGTCACGTTTATTTTTACAATCACCGTTTATTTCCGCCTAGCTTGTTTGAAAGAAATCCGCCCATTTCTTTGTGTTGGACCCTTAACAAATTCACGTTTTTTTTTTTGTGGGAGGGGAATGAAATTTGTAAATTTAAAAAAAAAAACAATCTAAAACCCAATTTTTGTGCCGGTTTTTATTTTCTTTTTATTGCCATTGGCATTATTGATGTTGTTAAGTTAAATTTTTACTTGAAAATCAGATTGATTGATCACATACGTAACCGGATCAAAACTATTATTTTTTTTAGTTACATTTTGGTCTTTTTATTTCCTAGTACAGGTGCTCCTTTTAGGATTAATTTTAGAAAGTTGTTTACTTGTGTTTAGTTTGTGCGATAATCAAAACACGGTTTTTTTTTTTTAAATTTTAATAAATTTATGTACTTATTTTATTTTTTACTATAGGGACAGGGTAGCAACTATGAAATATTGTAGAAGTTAACTTTTTTAATAACAGTAAGACTAACAATCTGCTTCAGCTTATGAGAATAAGAGATTAATAATTTCTATATCGAAACTCCCACCCAATATAAATATAATTTTTCGGGTCAGTTGTTTAACACAACGAATATTTTTGTGTAAAGTAAATTTTTACAAAGGATTACGATTACGTGAATTCAAGTAAGTCGTTTAATTTTCGGTATAAAAAATTATAGCATGCGAATGTAAGTAAATAAACCATACTCTTTGTATATTTAAAAGGAAAGTAATACAATAAATTATGATAAATAAATAAAAAAGTAAAACATAATAACGGTGGTTAAAATTGTAATAGTTTTTGCCCTGTTTTGGAAAGGGAACCTTGTAAAATCCTCTCTGGAGCTATGCCACTAAGTCACTATACACCGGCTTCGTGTTTTTAGTTAAGAATTATAAATGATTTTTGTTGAGACTTTTTAACATTAACAAACAACATCCTTTTTTTTTTCTTTCTTTTTCAAATTCAAGAAAACTCTTAACTGGAAGTCAGATTTATTTATTTATCTTCTTAATGAAAATATTTTCTTTCTCGCTATTAAAAAATTCCGTTTTTATTTTAACAAACATTATATTTTTTTAAATAAACACAATAACGTTCTTCTTTAAGTTGTTTTTTTTTAAGACATCCACTTGACTAAAATATTGAAGTTTTATCAATCTTCACTATAAGTACTAAATCTAATTAAAAATGTAAAATAAATAGTGTTGCTTAACTAGTAGTTATTTTTAAACTTTTTTATGTTGGCCTGCTATGAAGAAAAAAAATTTTTTCCTTAAAAACGTGATTTCTAAAATAGTTATTAATAATTTAGTCATAGCTCATGATCTTAATTGATTGGAGGTGTTAGATGTTATGATCTTAGTTAATTTTAGGCTACACACAAATATCAGTGTTACTAGTGTTCACTGTTGTTCAGTATCACAAATTTGATTGTCAGTTGCCTGAGCATAACCACTTGGGCATGTCCTCTCTAAGGGCTGATTCACTGTGTATCTCTGTTCATCATATCGAGTTATCGAGAGGGTTGATTTTTCTTTTTTTTTTTTAAATTTGAAGGCTGAGGCTGCCATGGCTACATTGGAGTCACGTCTAGATACTTAAAAATGCCCTAGGGCCTCCATCAACGTCTCAGCAGACTGGAATATAGAACCTGAAGATATTTTTAACTGGGTCAAACAAACCTGTAACGTTATGCTTTGCTTTTACAAAAAACTCTCACCGGATGACGTGTATTTGGCTGTGATACATCTGCCTGGTATACCCTTGTACTGGGTGTCATTATGAATACATTGGGCTTGGTGTGCTGCTGTCTCATATAGGGTGTGAGAATTTCTTCTCACATGGTTTAACCCCGGCAGAGACAAGATAAAAGACATACAATTCAAACAAAGCCTACCTTAAAATTCAATACAAATTTTATTTCGTCTTTGCAAAAAAGATTATGCCCTTTTGCGCCCCTGTGAATAGGGTGGGGTAGTTACTTCAAAGAAGTGGTAGTATTTTTCTTCTCTGTTGGACTCAACTGGTCTCTATGCAGATTCGAAGAAGCAGGAACTTGACGGTCGTCGAACAGGAGCATTACCAATTTGGTTGCTGAAATAAAAACTCGGCTATTTGTCGAGAGCTTGCAGAAAGGTTCTTCATGTAAAAGTACATAATGTGACGACAGTCAATAAACCAACTGAATTATTCAGCCTTAAAAAAAGTCTCTAGAATATGAGACAAGAAGAATAATTGCCTAGTCATTTAGGCTTAATTTTGGGCGCTAAAGGCCCTGCAATGTGAGAGAAATATGAGTCCTGCCATCTCGAAGATTTTGCAACAACTGAAAAAAAGGCACAGGCAGTTAAAAAATGCCTGCGAAAAGCAAAGGAAAATTCAACCAAAGAGCTTGGTCGGTACAAAAATACAGTGTGGCATAAATTAGCCAATAGGAGCATAGCTTTAATTGCAGAATTTCTCACAAGGGCTTACTGCCATATCTTGTTGAAATACCAGCTCCTGTACAACCACCGGAGGTAAGCAATGTCAAGCCTGGTCAGTAGCTAGATGGGTCACTGCTTGGGGATACCAGGTGCTGTAACCTTCAATGTGCAGGTGATGTGATAACAACTTTTTGTTAATCAGAAAGCAGAGTTCCAATTCCAGTTGAGTTATATTTACTTACATGCAAATACTCTTGGGAAAGGTATGAATCCACCTCTTCTCCCCTCAGTTATAAGTTAATTAGTTAGATTTATCAGTAAATCGTTATCTCAAAAAAAATTTTTTTCACAATCAAAAAATATTTTTTGGCTTTAGATAACCCACAGTATTGATAAGCCATGGAAAACAAATCAAATTTCTCCTATAATGACACACAGCAGATAACCAACCTTAAGTTGAATTTGTTTAGTATTTGAACATTTTTTGAAATAGAATGTTTATTTCTTACTTTTGACAAAATTTATTTTGGATGGCTACATAGATTCTTGCATTTCCAAAGAGCATTATTGCAAAGTGAATGCAAATAACGGAGCCATATTTTGAACTTGGATTTCAAATTTTACTTTCCAAGTTAATACGGTATACTATCTCATATCCTTAAAATATTGAATTTCCATTAAAATTATGTATTGTGCATCAGGTGTATAAAGGTATGTAAAATTCAGTACATTTAATTTTAAAATGGGTCATACGCATATGAGTAAACTTGGGTTTTCCCTGCTATTATTATAAATATCACTGTCTATATTTTATTTATTTGGTGCTGAAATATGATTAAGTAATACATAATATTAAAATATGGATTAAGACAATTTTTTTAATAT